TACTTGACTCAATTGAGATGGAATTGAATGTAAAAGTTTTCTCTTCTGGATATCCAGATATTTGGAAGTGAAGAAAAATATATAGCGCTATTATAAAGATTGAAGACATACAGTAGTATCAAACCCACAAATGACCCAATAAAGGATAACTTTCATGAGAAAATGTTGTCCATACATAGATACTTAAATATAGAAAAATATATTTATTAAAAACTTTTTATTTGATTAATATTTTTATATAATGGAGGTAAAATCAAAAGTAGAATCTAGAATATATTAACTTCATCAAAATTATATCCTTTAAATCAGAGGTCACGGTCACAGTCCTCCCGTTGTTCATCGATTTGCTCGAGCGGGCCCAGTAACGTCTCCATTGAAGACTTTGTTGTTACTGTGTCTGGCATAACGAATATGTCATGGGGAGCTTGCCAGGCTCTGCCGTGTGGGCGAGATACTCTCGGTAGCTTGCCGGGCTCTCCGAGAGGGGCGGAGGAATCGAACTCGAATTGGCCATGCTGGCTGCATGCAAGGCAAACGCCCTACCTGCTGTGCTATCGCTCCAGCCCTTAATCAGAGGTAGGGGGGAAAAAAGCAGATTTAAGAACTCATGGGGCCAGAGAGACGGTACAGTTTATAGGATGTTTGAGATGATACAGTGGGTGGAGAGAGTACAGTGGACAAAGGCTTTGCACACAGTTAACCAGAGTTCAAATAAATCTCAGCAACCCATCTGACCCCAGAGCCTCACCAGGAATGACCTTTGATTTTATTAGGAAACTATATCTAATGTTTTAAAAAGATTATATATTAAATTGCTATTTTGAAAATTTTACCTAGAATTGAAGTAGCAATTTTTTTGTAAAATTTATAATATTTGATTTTACATATTGAGAGTTCTGAAGTTCTAATAGTTTCACATAAACGTAAAACTGATTGTTTTCCCTCCTATTTTATATGTTGATTTTCTGGCGAATACCACAATTTAAGTTATTTTTGTGTTATATGGGATATGTTTGTAAATTCCTTAATTATAACATAGGAAATAACAAAAAAAGCATAAAATTAAAGTTATATATTAAATATATATTAAAAGGTAAAGGTAAAGGCCCCCCCGTTGATCGTCGATTTGCTCGAGCGGGCCCAGTAACATCTCCATTGGAGACTTTGTTGTTACTGTGTCTGGCATATCGAATACTCTCGGTAGCTTGCCAGGCTCTCCGAGAGGGGCGGAGGAATCGAACTCAGGTCGGCCATGTTGGCTGCTTGTAAGGCGAACGCCCTACCGCTGTGCTATCACTCCAGCCCAAATATATATTAAATTAAATATATATAAAATATATAGAAATTATAATATATATTGTATATATTACAATTTATATACCCACTCGTGATCTTCAAATTGCCTCTTATTTTTTTAGAAACTTATTATTCTCCTGATATGCAAAATGGTCCCACAAAAAGTAAATTGCTTTGAATGCTAAAAATCGTTCACACCAAGTTCATAAATAACTAGTGATCACAGTGTTTGGCCTGACTTTCCATTTAGCTAATCACAACCAATTGCTGAAAATCAAAATAAATTTCAGAATTTGGTAACTACTTTAGTCATTTAAGTATAACATTAAATTTTTAATCTGTTTCAACTGGTTTTTAACCATTCCAGTACAATCTTATTTGTATCATGTCATTGTTTTCTTGCCTCCATTATATCATTTTTGTGACAGAGAACTTTAAAGCTGAAACATATATTTTTTACCAGATCACAATTATACATCACTGAAAGAAAAACAACAATTTCCCATAAAGAACTAAATGGAGCATTAGTTTGATCTTTATTTCTTTGCTACATTCACATTCTTTTTAGAGACATATTTAATCCTATGATATCTTACAAATATTTTATCTTGCTTTTATTTAACAGACAGCTTAATAACTATACTTAACTAAATAACAGACTATTTTGCCATCAGATTTCAATTTCAAAATCAATTCTTTATTTATGTAAATAACCAAAACCTCTGCTAAGGAGAATTTTGTTTCAGTGTGAGGATGACTTTAAAATATTTTGATTCCTGTGTAGCAATAATCCTTAGTGCATATCAGCTTTATTTTTAAACATTTTATAGTGAAAGAAGTATATCTTAAGAAAATATTTTTGAAAGTATCTTTCTGAAAAAACAAATCTATTTGATTATTTGAAGCATTTCTTAATTATGTGATATTCATTCCCGAAATTTTCTGACAGGTCTTTTTCAAGATACCAGAACAGGTTTTTCTACCCATGGAATTAGCGACCCAGTTTGTCACCTTTACTCTATAATTTACAATTATGTAATTCTGCACTATGTATTCTTAAAATTTGCTTTTTTAAAAATATATTTCTTGTGATATTTTTGCTACTTCATTTATCTAAAAACACGAGGAAATATGAACAAATTTTCTCTTTGCACCCATCACTTAAAGTAGTGAACTTACTGGAAAGCAACTATATTAACATTTGCTACAACACACAATTACTGATCAACTCTAAGTAAGAATCTTTTCATTTCTGTATTTTATTATTCTACATATAATGTTTCACTTACTATGATTTATATTTGCTATGTATTAGTATTTTATGGGCTGGAGCAATAGCACAGTGGTAGGCCGTTTGCCTTGCACGCAGCCAACATGGCCTACCCGAGTTCAATTCCTCCGCCCCTCTCGGAAAGCCCGGCAAGCTACCGAGAGTATCTCGCCCACACGGCAGAGCCTGGCAAGCCACCCGTGATGTATTCAATATGCCAAACACAGTAACAACAAAAGTCTCCAATGGACATGCTACTGGGCCCGCTCGAGCAAAATTAGTTAGTATATTATGAGTTTTTTATGACGTATTCTTTCTAACATAAGGTTCTTGTACCATGTTCTTGTACGATGTTCAACATATTTGAATCACTTTACATTCATCAAAATTACTCTAATCAGTTTCCACCCTAGATTAATCAAATTGAAATATCCAGGGAAGTTAAATTAGGTTATACTGACTTCATAATTGATTTTGAATGTCCCCTTATACTGCAAAATTATTTCCCCACAATACCATGCAAATTATCAAGTAATATCTTACATAAAAGTTATATTTTTTGATAAAGAGCACCTTCTTTATACTTCCATTTTTTACTATTGTAATAAAATGTTGACATACATAAAATATTTCAATGTCAAATTTACAATAAACCACTGAAATTTGAAAATTTCAGATGAGTATGATAAACATGCATAGCTCTAATATCAGTCTAAGTTATTTAAGAACAATCATGTAGAAAATAATAATAAAATCATATAGTTTCAATAATCATAAAATTATTGAAACTATTACTTATGGCTATTTATTTTTTAAATGCTTTTCTTGGTTTGGGGACCATAAGCTTTGGTGATTAGGGCTTACTCTTGGTGGATCTGTGCTCAGGAATCATTACTAACAGTGTTCAAGGGACTGTATGTATTGCTGCAGATTAAACCTGGCTTGTTCACATGCAAAGGAAGTGTCCCATCTCTTATACTATCTCTCTGGATCCTCTGGTTGGACCTAAATCTACTGTGCTTGTTAAAAATTCTCATAAATTAATATTTTCAATAAAAGGTAAAAGGTAAAGGCCCTCCCGTTGATCATCGATTTGCTCTAGTGGGCCCAGTAACGTCTCCATTGGAGACTTTGTTGTTACTGTGTCTGGCATATCGAATACGTCACGGGGAGCTTGCCAGGCTCTGCTGTGCGGGCGAGATACTCTCGGTAGCTTAAAAAATATAATGAACTTATAATTTTACTATTCCTTTTATAAGATATTGTTATACTTAATACTTTTTGAAATTTGTGTTAAAGTAACTATTACTATCAAAATTCATGCATCTTGTCCTTGGTATTTTTGGTCCTTTCAGACTCCTTTGTCAAGTAGCTTATAATTGATTTTGGAACCTGACAGATAATACATGTTTATTCTTATATTTTAAACTAAAAAAATCAAGTCATGACAATTAATTACTAAAAAATATATAGAATAATGTAAAATATATATAATATTTATGTTAGGAAGAAAAACAGTAGCAATTAAAAAAAGCAAGATAATCTATGCTGTTACAAGAATATCTACACCACAGTTTCATTTTTCATTTCAGTTGGGAAGACAGATCATGTAGCTGAGTAACTCAGAGAAAAAATGCTTAAAATGTTTATTTAGGTTCTGGTTACATGATTTGGCAAATTAAGACTTTAATTATGTGTTTCATTTTATCATCTAGCACAAGGATCAGAAACAATCTACTTGTTAATGCAGGTTGTGAAACTATTCCATACCTAGCACCCTGATAAGTGTTGTACAAATATTACTATAGTTGTCTTTTTATTAAATGCTATTATTATAATTTCTATTTTAGCATACTTGCTAAAGTAAAAATGAAGTTTAATAATTCCATCGATGGTTTTGACTTCTGATCTTGAGGGATAAACCACTTAGAAAACACAAAAACTGAAACACAGGGCAGCATATAGTTATTCCATTGTTACACAAACACAGAATGCTTCACTAAACCTCTAAATTATATAAAATCTCTAAATTGTTTTCCCAGTAGTTTGGGTTTCAACAAATATGAGGTAATCCTTTAATGGAATTCAAGTTTGTCTTTTAATCATGTCCATATTTCCCATGGAATACATTTCCTAATTTGCTTCTTTAAAAATTAATAAGAAAATATTTTATGCAAGGTGGGGATGGAGCGATAGCACAGCCTGAAGGGTGTTTGGCCTTGCACGCAGCTGACCTAAATTCAATTTATAGATTCCCATATGGTCCCCCAAGAACTGCCACGAGTAATTCCTGAATGCAGAGCTAGGAGCAACCCTGAGCATCCCTGGGTGTGACCCAAAAAGCAAAAAAAAAAAAAATTACATATGTTAAAAATTTTTCCCATGGCCTCTAAAGTATTAGCAATAATCGGATAATAGAAAGTAAGACTACCCAACTCTCTGATTTCCTTTTACATTAGATCTGGATACTAGTCTTGGTGGTGTAAAGGAAGGAATAGTAATACTGACTTTGGCCTTACAGTTCTCATAGTCTGCTATATAACACATGGGACAGTTTCTAACAAGGTTGAAAAAAACTGTCATTGAAATGCTTTACACTAAATCAATATATTGGAGGTGTCAACACATTGTCTCTCTTCATTGTTTTGAGATAATTAGGTAATGAGACAGAATAGAGTATGAATTGTGACTTTTATTTACACATGATACACTATTAAAAGCTCTGAGACTGAAAGGAAAATGCTATCAAATGAGGGAAGTGTGAATTAAGCATAACATGCCTGGGATGATATGTCTAAGTGCATTAAGAAATGTGACCAGTAAAATCAAATTAATAAATGTAGAAATATTTCAAAATAATTAGGTGAATTAATGTCAGCAAATTCCATAACTAAATAGTGTGTGACTTGAATGGTATTAGTTTAAAAATTAGCAATTATTGAGAACATACTTGTCCTTTTTGTTCATTTGTTTTTGTTAGAATTTACTATTTGCTGTGGCACTTATGTTTGATTTTTTGTTATATATTAATGTAACTAGATTGCAAATAGTTTGAAGGGCATAGAGGGAAATCAATCTAACATTTTAGGATTTTCTCAGGGAAATACATTAAACAAATAAGCATTAGGCATATTAATAGAAAAAAACAATAAATGAACCACATGTGGGAATTCATAGCACTGTAGCACTGTCCTCCCATTCTTCATCGTTTTGCTCGAGTGGGCACCAGTAATGTCTCTATTGTGAGACTTGTTGTTACTGTTTTTGGCATGTCGAATATGCCACAGGGAGCTTGCCAGGCTCTGCCATGCAGGTGAGATACTCTCAGAAGCTTTTTGGGCTCTTTAATAGGCATGGAGGAATTGAACCTGGGTCAGCAGCATGCAGGGCAAATGCCCTGCCTGCTGTGATATTCGCTCCATATGGCTACAAATTCTGATGCAAATAGGACAGAATGAATACTTTTTTATTGAGTTAATTAATGATATAGTGACTAACAGTGGGTTTCAAACTCACATATACATGAAAGATGCTAAAAACTATTAATCACCGAGGAAATACAAAACAGAACTACAGTGAGATATTACACTAAAATTTAAAAAAATATATACAAGTATTAGTGAATAGGTGGAGAAAAGTGAGAGAAGAACATGAGAGCAATCTTCAAAATTTAACAGCGGGTAGGGCGTTCGCCTTACAAGCGGCCAACATGGCCGACCCGAGTTCGATTCCTCCGCCCCTCTCGGAGAGTCCGGCAAGCTACCGAGAGTATTCGATATGCCAGACACAGTAACAACAAAGTCTCCAATGGAGACGTTACTGGGCCTGCTCGAGCAAATCGACGATCAACGGGAGGGCCTTTACCTTTACCTTTTTACCTTACAAGCATCATCCTCAATGGGGAAAAACTGAGTCCCTCTAAGATCAGGGACGAGACAAGGATGTCCACTCCCTCCACTGCTGTTCAATATAGTACTGGAAGTACTTGCAATCGCAATTAGGCAAGAAAAAGATATTAAGGGCATTCAGGTAGGAAAGGAAGAAATCAAGCTCTCATTATTCACAGATGATATGATACTATATTTAGAGAACCCTAAAACATCTACCAAGAAACTCCTAGAAACAATAGACTTGTATAGTTGCAGGCTATAAAATCAATACCCAAAAGTCCATGGCTTTCCTATATGCAAACAGTGAGAGAGAAGAAAGCGACGTGAAAAAAAAACAATTGTGCCCCAGAAAATCAAGTACCTAGGAATCAGCTTAACTAAGGAAGTAAAGGACCTGTACAAAGAAAACTATAAAACGCTACTTAAGGAAATAAAAGAGGACACCAGGAAATGGAAAAATATCTCCTGTTCATGTATCTGGAGAATTAACATTGTCAAAATGGCAATACTTCCCAAAGCACTGTACAAATTCAATGCAATCCCTATTATGATACCCATGACATTCTTCAAAGAAATGGAGCAAATACTCCTGAAATTTATATGGAACAATAAGCCCCCACGAATAGCTGAAGCAATTCTTGGGAAAAAGAAAATAGGAGGAATCAACCTCCCTAACTTCAAACTCTACTACAAAGCAGTAATAATTAAAACAGCATGGTACTGGAACAAAGGCAGAGCTGCAGACCAATGGACAAGGGTCGAATATACTGACATCTCTCCACAAGCATATGATCATCTAATCTGATAAGGGGGCAAGAAATGTGAAGTGGAGCAAGGAAAGCCTCTTTAACAAATTGTGCTGGCAAAACTGGACAGCTACATGCAAAAAAGTGGGCTCAGATCTGTCCCTAACACCAAATACAAAAGTAAGACAAAATGGATTAAAGACCTCAACATCAGACTAGAATCCATAAGGTACATTGAAGACAAAGTTGGCAAAACTCTCCATGACATTGAAGCTAATGGTATCTTCAAAGATGTGACACCACTGGCCAATCAAGTGAAAACAGAGACAGACAAATGGGACTATCTTAACCTAAGAAGCTTCTGCACCTCCAAAGAAACAGTGACCAAAATACAAAGACAGTCTACAGAATGGGAAAGGATGTTCTCCGAATACACATCTGACAAGGGGTTAATATCAAGGATATAGAAAATACTGGTTGAACTCCACAAGAAGAAAACAACCAACCACATCAAAAAATGGGACGACGAAATGAACAGAGACATTATCAAAGAAGAAATCCGAATGGCTAAAAGGCACGTGAGAAAATGTTCTATGTCATTAATCATCAGGGAGACGCAGATCAAAATAACAATGAGATACCATTTCACACCAGAGAGTCTGCTCCACATCCAAAAGACCAAAAGCAACCTCTGTTGGTACAGATGTGGCAAGAAAGGGACTCTACTTCACTGCTGGTGGGAATGCCGACTGGGTCAGCCCTTTTGAAAAACAGTATGGACGATTCTCAAAAAATTAGAAATTGAGCTCCCATTTGGCCGAGCAATACCAGTCCTAGGAATATATCCCAGAGAGGCAAAAAAGTATAGGCGAAGTGACATCTGCACTTGTTTGTTCATTGCAGCACTGTTTACAATAGCCAGAAACTGGAAGAAACCTGAGTGCCCAAGAATAGATGACTGGTTAAAGAAACTTTGGTACATCTATACAATGGAGTACTATGCAGCTGCTAGAAAAGATGAAGTCATGAAATTTACATACAAGTGGTACTACATGGAAAGTATCATGTTAAGCGAAATGACTCAGAAAGAAAGGGATAGACATAGAAAGATTGCATTCATCTGGGGAACATAAAGTAACAAAATAGAAAACTAACACCCAAGAATGGCCGAGATCAGTACCAGGAATTTTACTCCATGGCTTGGAGGCCAACCACACATGCTAGGGAGCTCAGATAGAGAAGGGAGCACCAAATAAAGGGTGTTGGGAGGTTCCTCTCAGGATGGGAAATGTGTGATGAGAGTAGACTATAGACGGAACAAGATTGCCACTCAATGTCTCTTTTGCACTCAAAAGGAGAAAGATAACAAAAGGGAATGCCCTGTCACAGAGGTAGGGCGGTATGAGGGGATAGGGGGAGGGAGGGATACTGGGACTGGTGGTGGTGGAGAATGGGCACTGGTGGAGGGATGGGTATTCATTCCATCATTGTATAACTGAAACCCATGCACAAAATTTGTAAGTCTACAACCGTACCTCATGGTGTTTCACTAATAAAAATTTAAGAAAAAAAATTAAAGGCTGTAGAGATAGAATATAGGGCTGTAATATATGTCTAGCATGTGTTAGATTCCAAATTCTTTTCCTGGTACTGGAGGGGTCCTTACCTCCTATTATTGCTGGGCAGCCCTAATGTCTATGAATTGCTATTGACTGGCTGAGTATTGAATCATAAATTGGGTACAACTGAACTGTGTATTGCAAAATCTGAAGTCTGTATACCCCTGAAAACCATTTAGGATGGTGAGAGAGAGAAAGAGGGAGAGAAAGAGAGACAGAGACAGAGACAGAGACATAGATGAAGACAGAGACAAAGAGAGACAGAGAGACAGACAGAGACAAAGAGCTGATAATGCAGGGGTTAATGTTCTTGTTTTGCACACTTCAACCCTGGTTCAGTTCTCAACACCACATATACTAGCAGAAGAACTAACAGGAAAGACCACTTGCACAGTCAAAATTAAGTCCAAAGTACTGCCAGGTGCTTCCCCTCATCCCCACCCCCCAAATAAAAAATAGAGATAATGTAAACTTGCATATGATCCAAACACATGCTAGGTTGGGATTTTCATAGTAATAAAATGAATTGCACTAACTTAATACATTAACTCAAAAATCTCTACTGCAGTGTCAAAGTTTAGGATAACTAAGTGTTCTTTGATTAACAACTGGATTGAAATGTATTTAGGGTCAGGCCTGCAACTTAGTAGTAGAGAATATGCCTTGCACATACACGGCTCAAAACTTTATCACCTGGACTTCAAGACTGCTCAAGCAGTAAAAGGTTATCCGGAGGCAACTCTCCAGGGCTCCAGAACAGCATCATATATGGCCCCAGAAGAGGAAAGGCATAAAAAGAAAATATTGTATTAGTAATGAAATCTTGTCCTTGCAATAACATTGATGAAACTTGAGGATATTTCACATCTAAAATAAGTCAATTAGGTTCACAAAAATAAATATATGACTTATCTTCTATGTGAATTCAAAAATTAATTAACAAAAAATATGGGTATGTAAAGTATCAAAGAGGAGATGCCTCAGTTTTCTGGTCCCTCAATTATAGAACTGAGAAAGATAGGGAAGTAAAGTGATCTGAGGAAGAGTAAGAAGTAGCAGAGGTAACAGAGACCTGGGACCTCATATAATTAGGCAGTGTGAAGATAAGGTATACCTCGAAGTCTGAGTGACAAAACCAACAACACAAAAAGCAGGAGGTGGGGCTGGAGTGATAGCAGAGCGGGTATGGTATTTGCCTTGCATTCAGCCAACTCGGGTTCAATTCCCAGCATCCCATATGGTCCCCTGAGCATTTCCAGTAGTAATTTCTGTGTGCAGACCCAGGAGTAACCCCTGAACATTGCCGGGTGT